CTCAATCTCCCTGAGAATCACCTGAATATCTCCGAGCGTGCGTGTTTGGAAGCCAACAGCGCAGAAGACGAAGTAGTATTGCCACGTGCGGAGGAACTTGGGCCCAAAGCCCATTTCCATGATGTCGCTGGGAGGAGCGAGGGATAGTGATGGGCAGGGAGGGGCATGAAGATTGCATCATGGATGGATGGAAAGGTAGCGTCTTCATGCCTCTAAGTATAACAGTGATAACAGTGAAGATGATAACACCGAGGTACTGCCTGCCATATGCATAGGAACTTGGACTGGTTATTGAGAATTCTCAAAAACCACTTCAATTCATATGCCTGCCATGTGCACAGGAACTTGGACTGGTTATTGAGAATTCTCAAAACCACTTCAACTCATATGCCTGCCATGTGCACAAGAACTTGGACTGGTTATTGAGAATTCTCAAAACCACTTCAACTCGTATGCATGCCATGTGCACTGGAACTTGGACTGGTTATTGAGAATTCTCAAAAACCACTTCAATTCATATGCCTGCCATGTGTACAGGAACTTGGACTGGTTATTGAGAATTCTCAAAAACCACTTCAACTCATATGCCAGCCATGTGCACTGGAACTTGGATTGGTTATTGAGAATTCTCAAAAACCACTTCAACTCATATGCCTGCCATATGTGCTGGAACTTGGACTTGTTATTGAGAATTCTCAAAAACCATTTCAACTCGCATGCCTGCCATGTGCACTGGAACTTAGACGAAAAGCCCAGATTCCCATGATGTCACTGGTGCCAGGGGATGGGCAAGAAGGAAAAGAGTGGGAGGACGGAGGGTGTTGACAGGGCTTAACGGCGCATTGCCACGTGCGCAAGTAGTTGCGGCCAAAGCCCAATTTGAAGATGTCTAGGAGAAGGAGAGAGAGGGTGATAGAAACGATAGCAGCAATGGATGAAAAAGTGGAGAAGATCATCAGCCTCACTGTAGCAGTGCCACGTGCGCACCAACTGTGGGCACATGGCAGTGCCACGTGCGCACCAACTGTGGGCACATGGCAGTGCCACGTGCACACCAACTATGGGCACATGGCAGTGCCACGTGCGCACCAACTATGGGAACATGGCAGTGCCACGTGCGCACCAACTATGGGCAAAGCCTATTGCCATGGTGACTGTCAGGAACCTTGGGCCAAGCCTATTGCTACGCTAATTACTCACTGGCTGTGCGTCATGAAGCTGCCATGCCATCACCATGTCCTCACCACACCCCACCATCACACCATGCGAAACCCTGCGCTCACTGGCTGTGCGTCATGAAGCTGCCGTGCCATCACCATGTCCTCACCACACCCCACCATCACACCATGCGAAACCGTACACTCACCTACGTGACCGCAAACGCTATGGCGGGGCAGCGTTTAGCATTTAAATGCTGCGTTTAAACGCTAAACGCTAAACGCTCAGGTAAAATTTTAGGGGCAGCCTGACGAAAAAATTGACCAATTTTTTTTTCGCGACATTGCGACCTGGCGAATTCAACTAGACATTCACCAAGTCGCAAATCCCAACCTAGTGACAAAAAAACGCATCCAACTCTTTTGCCCCGCTAAACCGCACAGCACCCTGTTCATCTACGACCACTCAAACCTAACCACTTTCTCCCCTTCTTCCATCACAATCTCTTCCCCATGAGAAACGGGAACCCTGGAGTTCCGCGCGCCATAGCCGTAGTTCAGATCTAGTCATCATTCTCTCACCTCCCACGCCCACTCACCCTGGCGACCTAATTTCGCGCTAAGTTAAGGGCCCACGCCCATGTCGACCCCCCCTAATGCTGCAGATGCTAATCCTACAGCGTCTGCAGCATCAAATATTTACGAGGCAGAGTCTAATCATGATATTTACAAGCATTACAAAGTTAGAGTTAAGGAGGCCGGGGTTGCCACGGCTAGGGTGGAATGTCGTTATTGCGAGCTGTCTTTTGTTGGCATTCCCAACCGGTGCGCTATGCATTTCACGGAGTGGGAAGGACAGGTGCGGTGGGAGGTCAAGGAATGTCCCTCGGCGCCAAAGGAGGTGAGGGAGGCAATGCAGGCACTATACGAAGGGAAGGCGTCTTTCAAGGCCCAGAAGCATAAGGAGGTCGCGGATGCGGTGGAGGCCGTGGGGGGAGGGGGAAAGCGGGGCAAGATAACTACATATTTCAGCAACGGCGCGGCATGTGCTAAGCGTGAGGTAGATGCGGCATTGTGCCTCATGTTTGCAGCCCTCCGCATCCCAGAAAGTCGTGCCGACCACCCACTCTTCGTCGATGCCGTGCATGCGGTCGCTCGTGCGGGAACAACGTACGTGCCGCCCAAACGCATGTACATTGGAGGAGCGTGGTTGAAGGAGTGTCGCACCCGCATCGATCTCGCCCTTGATGCACTCAAACAGAATTGGGAGAGGCATGGCGTCACCGTGGCTTCAGACATGATGACGGACCGGTGCTGGAGGCCGCAAGCGAACGTCATGTTGGTCAATGACTTCGGCGCCATGTTTGCCGACTGCATTGACTGCCGCATGGAGACGAAGACAGGCGGGTACATTGCCGGCATCCTCCGCCCTATCATCCAGAAAATCGGGCCTGCTAATGTGGTGGCGCTATGCACGGATGGGGGGAGTAACTACGGTAAGGCCTGCGAGGTGTTGAGGGAGGAGTGGCCGCACATTGAGCATGTACCGTGCGCCACTCATGTCCTAGACCTGCTCATGGAAGACGTGGGAAAGCAGGCGTGGGCGAAGAGGGTGGTTGAGGGTGCGAACGAGGTGATAAATTACGTCCACAATCACCACTGGACGGGGAACTTCTTGCGCGAGCCGGCGGAGCTGAGGTGCAAGGTGCTGCAGCTGTTGAAGCCAGCGGGCACCCGCCAATAGGGCCATGATCCTCTTACCAACTTAGGTGAGCGGACCTTCTTGCTTACCGACTTAGGTGAGTGGCCTAGCTCTGCCTCGGTCCTGTACGCTGACAATAGGGCCATGATCCTCTTGTGTCAGGAGCCTCGACTCGAGGGCAGAGCAAAGCACATCCAGCTGCGGTACTTCGTTCTGCGCAAGCTACAACAGCGACGCCAGGCCCGCAGAGTACACTTGGCCTCCGGTGCCAACACAGCTGATATCTTTACTAAAGTGCTTGCTCCTAAAGATCATCAGCGGCACTGTTTGCAACTTGGTCTAGTTCCTGTAGCTCCTCACTTGCTAGGATCTTATTGTGTACTCCTCTTTATATTTACCTTCTTGACTGGCCTTGTGGCTTCTCTTTCAGTGGCCGGACTAGTAGTGCCGCCCTGGTTTGCTCTTGTCTTGTTTGTACTCTTGCTGACTGGTCTTCAGACCCATGCCTCAGAGGTTGGACTAGTAGTGCCACCGTGAGCTGCGTGTTTCTTGCTCAGCACTACCCCTTATCTAGCCTAGGGGGTGTGTCAACTTTTACATATGATGTTACGTAGAAATTGTAGGCTAGATAGGTGCTTGTTCTTAGTGAGTACTGTTAAAATTATATAAGTTATAATTTAATCTAGGCTTGGTAGGTTGTTACTGAACCTTTCTGTAGAGGGTACAATCCCCTCCTTGTACTGCTCTCTCTTCCTAATCGACCCTCTTCTTTCTCGTCACTTTTCTCCTCACGTTCCTAGATCTACTTTCCTCACGCCATTCCATGGCGGCATTCCTAGTATCCTAGCTAAGCTAGTGTCCTAACTTTAGAAACCTAGTCTCCTAAGTCTTTGACATGGTATCAGAGCAGGAGGTCCTCCCTGCTGGACCGCCTACTCACGCTTCTCGCGCTGCCATGGCGCTCGTGTCGTGCCGCTGGCCGCGTCGTGCCGCGGCCGTCTCGACGCGCTGCTGTGGCGTCGCGCTGTCATGCCATCGCTTCCGCCGCGCATTTCTCTCGTCACTGCCTTCCCGCCGTGGCGGCCATGCCGGCATGTCATGGCGGCTTCGTCGTGCGGCCGTCGCATCCTCGACGCCCTGCCGTGGTGGCGTCGACGCTTTGCCGTGGCAGCGTCACCTTGCTGCCGTTGCAGCGTCGGCGTTCCGCCACAGCGTCGACGCCGCGCTCTGGCGGCGTCGTCATGCTGCCGCGGCAGCGGGCAGCACGCCGTCGTAACCGCCACCTGCCCGCCCTCCTGCCAGTAAGCGCCGCGCCACTTATGGCGCGTCGCTGAAGACTCGCCTCGCCCCCCCACCTCCCCCTCCTTCCCCTGCATTCCCCCCTTCCTTGCTGCAGCCGACGACTGCCTCATGAGGGCCCTCCCCACCGCCGAGGAGACTGGACATGCCGCCGAGAGGGCGGGGGCCGCTGCACCGGCCTCTGACGTTCAAGCCGCCGCCGCCGCCGCTGTTGCCGCTGTTGCCGCGGGCCTGGCACTGCCGCACGCCGCCACCGCCGCCGCTGTCGTCACTGTCGCCGCTGCCGCCATTGCCATCTCATGGGCCGTGGGAGCTGCTGCCCTCTTCCGGAGTTGTTACGGCTCCTGCTGGGAATGGGGGTGCTGGGCTAGGGGGTGTGGGTGTGGGTGTGGGTGTGTGCGTGGGCTTGACACTACCAAGTCTAGAGGGTGTGTTCAAATTATATAAGATATAATTTAACATAGGCTTGGTAGGTTGTTACTGAACCTTTCTGTAGAGGGTACAATCCCCTCCTTGTACTGCTCGCTCTTCCTAATCGACCCTCTTCTTTCTCGTCACTTTTCTCCTCACGTTCCTAGATCTACTTTCCTCACGCCATTCCATGGCGGCATTCCTAGTATCCTAGCTAAGCTAGTGTCCTAACTTTAGGAACCTAGTCTCCTAAGTCTTTGACAAGTACAACCCCAACACGATATCTCTCTTGTTCTCCCTTGTTTCATTTTCAATCTAGTATTCGAACACAGTGTTCCAGCAAGCTAGCTAAATCTGCATTCCGTGATTTTGCTTTACCAAGAGTTAGCAATACAAGATGCATAAAGCAGCGATGTGTGCTAGCTGCAATAAAAATGGATTAATCTATACTAGTATATCGTACACAAAGTCACTTATGGGGCAAAGAATGGACCCTCAGACCAGGCAAGGAATTGTACATATATGGTGGCTATATGTGGTACTGTGGTACGGTGTTCTGTCTCCTGCTGGTACATGGTGTGAGGTCAAGCTGTGGTTATGTCTGCTGGATGCACTCGGCCGAAAAGCTACAAGGAGAATTAGCCCATCCTCCCCACCCCACCAGTAGGCCCTACTCTGTCTTGGTGTATGGTACTAGATCCAGAGTAACGTTGCTAGGGCGGGAGTAAACCACCTGCGCACGAGCATCAGATGGTGGGTGGGAAGCAGGCACGGAGGTAGGTGTTAGATTGGCTAGCAGTAGGCCTCACTTCACAATGTCTTGGTGTGGCGTTACTCCATCTTATTAGTGTTGCGTTGCCATGGCGGGAGTGAGGGCGGGAGTGAGGGCGGGAGTGAGGGCGGGAGCAAACGATCTGCACTTGGAACATCCGCCCAGGCAACGCGACACTGATGGGATGTCCGCCCTCAGGAACATCAGTGGGTTCATGATGGGATGCAGAAATGAAAGAACCCGAGAAGGAAATGGAGTGCAATACCTGAAGTAACACCTAAATATTTCCTGGCCAACCTGAGAATAGTGAAGCATCCCCTAGAATCACCTGAATCTCCCTGAGAATCACCTGAATCTCCCTGAGAATCACCTCAATCTCCCTGAGAATCACCTGAATATCTCCGAGCGTGCGCGTTTGGAAGCCGACAGCGCAGTAGACGAAGTAGTACTGCCACGTGCGGAGGAACTTGGGCCCAAAGCCCATTTCCATGATGTCGCTGGGAGGAGCGAGGGATAGGGATGGGCAGGGAGGGGCATGAAGATGGCATCATGGATGGATGGAAAGGTAGCGTCTTCATGCCTCTAAGTATAACAGTGAAGATGATAACACCGGGGTACTGCCAGCCATATGCACAGGAACTTGGACTGGTTATTGAGAATTCTCAAAACCACTTCAACTCATATGCCTGCCATGTGCACAGGAACTTGGACTGGTTATTGAGAATTCTAAAAAACCACTTCAACTCATATGCCTGCGATGTGCGCTGGAACTTGGACTGGTTATTGAGGATTCTAAAAAACCACTTCAACTCGTATACCTGTCATGTGCACAGAAAATTGGACTGGTTATTGAGAATTCTCAAAAACCACTTCAACTCGTATGCCTGCCATGTGCACAGGAACTTGGACTGGTTATTGAGAATTCTCAAAAACCACTTCAACTCGTATGCCTGCCATGTGCACTGGAACTTGGATTGGTTATTGAGAATTCTCAAAAACCACTTCAACTCGTATGCCTGCCATGTGCACTGGAACTTGGACTGGTTATTGAGAATTCTCAAAAACCACTTCAACTCGTATGCCTGCCATGTGCACAGGAACTTGGACTGGTTATTGAGAATTCTCAAAAACCACTTCAACTCGTATGCCTGCCATGTGCACTGGAACTTGGATTGGTTATTGAGAATTCTCAAAAACCACTTCAACTCGTATGCCTGCCATGTGCACTGGAACTTGGACTGGTTATTGAGAATTCTCAAAAACCACTTCAACTCGCATGCCTGCCATGTGCACTGGAACTTGGACGTAAAGCCCAGATTCCCATGATGTCACTGGTGCCAGGGGATGGGCAAGAAGGAGAAGAGTGGGAGGACGGAGGGTGTTGACAGGGCTTAACGGCGCACTGCCATGTGTGCAGGTAGTTGCGGCCAAAGCCCAATTTGAAGATGTCTAGGAGAAGGAGAGAGAGGGTGATAGAAACTATAGCAGCAATGGATGAAAAAGTGGATAAGATAATCAGCCTCACTGTAGCAGTGCCACGTGTGCACCAACTGTGGGCACATGGCAGAGCCACGTGCGCACCAACTATGGGCACATGGCAGTGCCACGTGCGCACCAACTATGGGAACATGGCAGTGCCACGTGCGCACCAACTATGGGCACATGGCAGTGCCACGTGTGCACCAACTATGGGCACATGGCAGTGCCACGTGCACACCAACTATGGGCACATGGCAGTGCCACGTGCGCACCAACTATGGGCACATGGCAGTGCCACGTGCACACCAACTATGGGCACATGGCAGTGCCACGTGCGCACCAACTACTATGGGCACATGGCAGTGCCACGTGCGCACCAACTACTATGGGCACATGGCAGTGCCACGTGCGCACCAACTATGGGCACATGGCAGTGCCACGTGCGCACCAACTATGGGAACATGGCAGTGCCACGTGCGCACCAACTATGGGCACATGGCAGTGCCACGTGCGCACCAACTATGGGAACATGGCAGTGCCACGTGCGCACCAACTATGGGCACATGGCAGTGCCACGTGCGCACCAACTATGGGAACATGGCAGTGCCACGTGCGCACCAACTATGGGAACATGGCAGTGCCACGTGCGCACCAACTATGGGCACATGGCAGTGCCACGTGCGCACCAACTATGGGCAAAGCCTATTGCCATGGTGACTATCAGGAACCTTGGGCCAAGCCTATTGCTATGCTAATTACTCACTGGCTGTGCGTCATGAAGCTGCAAAGCCATCACCATGTCCTCACCACACCCCACCATCACACCATGCGAAACCCTGCACTCACTGGCTGTGCGTCATGAAGCTGTTGTGCCATCTCAGTGCCATCACAAACCATAGACGCATGACCACAGTAGATGCTAAACCCGACTTCAACTCACTGGCTGTGCGTCAAGAATTTGTCGTGCCATCTCATGAGTGTGGTCGCGTAGTGCGGCCCGATGTTCTCCATCTCCTCCACACTGTGCAGGCAGGGGGGGGGGTGAAAGGGGCGGGGTGGGGGAACAGGGGGATGGTAAGTTGCCCAGCACGGTGAGGTGTGGCAAACATGCTGCATGGTGCCATAGTGTGGCCTGATGTTCTCCGTCTCCTCCACATTGTGGGGGAGGGAGACGGGGGAGAGGAACGGGGGAATGGTAATGCTTAACATGCTGAGGCGTGGTGGCGTAGTGCAGCCCAACGCTCTCCATCTCCTCCACACTGCGAGGCAAGGTTAAGGGAAGGGGGGGGGGGGAGCAGAGTATGGCCCAGTAGGTGGTGTAATGTGGGCCAGTGTTCTCCGCCTCCTCTATCTCCTCCTCACTGCTCATAAAAAGCGTGAGGAATGGGGAAAGAGGGGGGGGGGAGAAAGGGGGCGAGGGTATGTATGGCACATGCATTCAGGGTATGGTGAAGATGCTGAGTGTGGTGGCATAGTGCATCGCCTACACGTTGTTAATGGCAGAGGGGAGTGGGGGGCAATATGTTGCTTTCGAAGTGAGGGGAGTGAGGGGAGTGTAGGGCAATATGCTGCTTTCAGGGGGGTAATAGGTTGCTTTCGTAGTGAGGGGCGTGGGGGGGTAATAGGTTGCTTTCGTAGTGAGGGGCGTGGGGGGGTAATAGGTTGCTTTCGTAGTGAGGGGCGTGGGGGGGTAATAGGTTGCTTTCGTAGTGAGGGGCGTGGGGGGGTAATAGGTTGCTTTCGTAGTGAGGGGCGTGGGGGGGTAATAGGTTGCTTTCGTAGTGAGGGGCGTGGGGGGAATGGGGGGTAATATGGCCACAGGCCCAGCTTCTGTCCTATCCATGTTGTTTTCACCTGAAGGAGGAGTCTTCTGTCCTATCCATGCTGTTTTCACCTGAAGGAAGAGTTTCTGGCAGTGTTGTTCTCAAGCAGAAGGACCAGCTTCTGTCCATGTTGTTTTCACCTGAAGGACATGTTGTTTTCACCTGAAGGCGGAGTTCTTGGCCATGGCGTCGGTGAGGGCAGCAAAGGAGGGCACGCAGCAGCCGGGGAAGATGTATTCCTTGATGAAGTCAGAGGACAGGCGGTACTCCTCGTAGCGGCTCTCAGGGGTGGTGATCACCTGATGGGTTTGAGGGGTGTGCGGAAAGGGGGGGAGAGAAGACGAAGAAGAGATGAGATAGCAGCAGCAGCAGCAGCAGCGGGCGGGGAAGATGCATTCCTTGATGAAATCAGAGGAGAGGCTGTACTCCTTATAGTGGCTCTCACGGGTGGTGATCACCTGATGTGAGGGAGAAAGGGGGGGTGTAGGATTTTTGGGTGTAAGTTCGGGAATGGGGAAGGGGAGGGGGGAGTGGGGGGGGGAGATGCATAGATGAGAAAGGCACATAGCAGCAGCAGCAGCTGGGGAAGATGTGCTACTTGATGAAGTCAGAAGACAGGCGGTACTCCTCCTCATAGCGGCTCTCAGGGGTGGTGATCACCTGATGGGAGGGGGGACGGGAGGTGGGGGGCAGAGGGAGGAGGGGAGACGAAGAAGAGATGAGATAGCAGCAGCAGCAGCAGCTGCAGCAGCAGCTGCTGCTGGGGAAGATGTGCTGCTTGATGAAGTCAGAAGACAGGCGGTACTCCTCCTCATAGCGGCTCTCAGGAATGGTGATCACTGCAGGGGATGGGAGGGCGGTTGTGGGGAATAGAGAGGGAGAGGGGGACAGAAAGAGAGATTGGAGAGGGAGAGGAGAAGACACAGGGATAAGAGAGGCGTACAGCAGCAGCGGCAGCAGCAGCAGCAGCAGCCAGGGGAGATGTATGCCTTGTTGAAGGCAGAGGAGAGGCGGTATTCCTCGTAGCACACCTGAAGAGCCAGCAGGCCATTCGGCACTAAAAAGGCACAAATCATGGTTTTACCCACACAACCCCCCTCAACCGTCCAGGTGAGAATGCACTTGAACAACCACCTGAGATCAGATTACAATGTAGCTGAACAACCCCATGAGATCCGTTTACAATGCACCCGAACAACCACCTGAGATCAGTTTACATTACAATGCACCTAAACAACCACCTGAGATCAGTTTACAATGCACCTGAACAACCACCTGAGATCATTTTACAATGCACCTGAACAACCACCTGAGATCATTTTACAATGCACCTGAACAACCAGGAGCCCGTCCATCGCCAGCAGGCGGTCGCAGTGGTGGAAGAAGTCGCCCAGGTACTCGTGGCCCACTGCCTCCAGCATCTCACTGCGAGAATGGACTCAAAAGCAGGCGGGAGGAGGAAGGAAAAAACATGCGGAAAGGACATGAAAGGTGCAAGTGGGGAGGAAACCAGGCGGACTCAAGACCAGGCGGTCGCAGTGGTGGAAGAATTGGCCCAGGTACTCGTGGCCCACCGCCTCCGGAGTGGTATCTAGCTGCAGGTGGGGAGCAAGCAAACATGGCATTGCAGAAAGGGGGGGGGTTATTGAAGAAATCTCCCAGGTACTTGAGGCCCACCGCCTCCAGCATCTCGCTTAAGGTGGGAACCAAGCATGAATGACAAAAGCAGAAAGGGAAGTTTTGTTTAAGAAATCTCTCAGGTACTCATGGCCCACTGCATCCAGCATCTTGCTGGGGGAAATAGAGCTAGCAGTTCAAATCGCATCGCAGAAAGGGGGAGATTATATGGGGTGCCTTTGAGTCGATTCATAAGTCACCCCAGGTGCTGGTGCTCACTGCCTCCAGAGTCTCACTGTTGGAACATGGGAGCATCTTATGCACCCAACTATCAATCAAGAGCATTGGGGTAAGATTGGCATCTAGTAAATATCTGCATGCCAAAAAGGCGTGATGGCAGCACACATACGGTACGATACCACACGTTTCTCGACGTATGATAGACTCTCGATATAAAATCAAAGGTCGACGAGCAGGGAACGCTCAATAAGATGATTGGGAGCTTGGAGGACAGTCAGTGAGCTCCAGTCATTTCTGATATTTCTTGAAAATGCAAGACGAATGACTGCCCTCATTCAGACATACTCTCATTCAGTCAATGAGCATGAAGGGCAGTCGCACTGCAAGATGAATGACTGCCCTCATTCAGTCATGCTCTCATTCAGTCAATGAGCATGAAGGGCAGTCGCACTGCAAGATGAATGACTGCCCTCATTCAGTCATGCTCTCATTCAGTCAATGAGCATGAAGGGCAGTCGCACTGCAAGATGAATGACTGCCCTCATTCAGACATGCTCTCATTCAGTCAATGAGCATGAAGGGCAGTCGCACTGCAAGATGAATGACTGCCCTCATTCAGTCATGCTCTCATTCAGTCAATGAGCATGAAGGGCAGTCGCACTGCAAGATGAATGACTGCCCTCATTCAGTCATGCTCTCATTCAGTCAATGAGCATGAAGGGCAGTCGCACTGCAAGATGAATGACTGCCCTCATTCAGTCATGCTCTCATTCAGTCAATGAGCATGAAGGGCAGTCGCACTGCAAGATGAATGACTGCCCTCATTCAGTCATGCTCTCATTCAGTCAATGAGCATGAAGGGCAGTCGCACTGCAAGATGAATGACTGCCCTCATTCAGTCATGCTCTCATTCAGTCAATGAGCATGAAGGGCAGTCGCACTGCAAGATGAATGACTGCCCTCATTCAGTCATGCTCTCATTCAGTCAATGAGCATGAAGGGCAGTCGCACTGCAAGATGAATGACTGCCCTCATTCAGTCATGCTCTCATTCAGTCAATGAGCATGAAGGGCAGTCGCAATGCAAGGCTGGAAGCCGGAAAGAAAGGAAGGCGAGAGAAGTGCTCGTTGACTCACCATGACAGGATGCGGCACTCACCATGACAGGATGCGGCACTCACCATGACAGGATGCGGCACTCACCATGACAGGATGCGGCACTCACCATGACAGGATGCGGTCGAACCTCCCCGTGCCTAGCAGCTTTCGGTAGTCACAGAGGATGAAGTTGATTCGATCCTGGTGAGGATGGGGAAGAAAGGGCGCAAGGGAGCAAGAGAAGGAGGGGAAGAGCGAGGAATGCATGTTTCAACTCAACACGCCAGGTAGCAGGTGATGGTCACACAGGATGAAGTTGATTCGATCCTGGCGGGGATGAGGAGTGAACGGGCGCAAGGGAGCAAGAGAAGGAGGGGAAGATCGAGGAATGCATGTCACAGAGGATGAAGCTAATTCGATCCTGATGTGGCCGGAAGAGCGGGAGAGAAGGGGAGCAAGAGAGCAAGGTAGCAGGAGAGAGGCAGAGGGTTCCTTGAGAGTTTTCCAAGGGTGGTTTGAGGTTTCTCGAACCTGCAGGCCTGCCGCCTTGACTCTTTCAGTAGCCAGCTGCAGCTGCTGCGATGAGAGGGTGATGCCCGTCAAGCTGACCATCTCCAAACCAATGCATGTATAGACCCTAAACCCGAAACCCTAGAGAGTGTTCTGCGAGTCGTTTGAGGCGGCTTGGACCATCACTTCTTACCTGCAGCCCTGCCGCCTTGACTCGCTCTGTTGCGAGCTGCAGCGGCTGCGACGAGAGGGTGATGCCCATGTAGCGGCATTCCATCAGGCCCACCGCCTTTGAACCCCACTCATCTAGGGGCCACACATCTGGAGTCCACACCTGCAGCCTTGCCTGAGCGCATACCTGGAGCCCTGCCGCCTTGACTCTCTCTGTCGCCAGTGCCAATTGTTGCGACGAGAGGGTGATGCCTGTGTAGCGGCACCCCGTCAGGCTGACCGTCTCCAGAGCCAGGCTGCCCCACCCGAACCCGATCTCGAGGACATGGTGAGACGAGTCTATGCGCGCCTGCGGGGGTAGGAGGGAGGGGGATGGGTAGGAGTGGAAGGATTATTTCTTGAGTGGCTTTGAAGCACACCAGAGCCAGGCTGCCCCACCCGAACCCGATCTCAAGGACATGGTGAGACGAGTCTATGCGCGCCCTGGGGGGTTGGACAGGGGAAGGACAGGCGGAATGAGTGATTTGACTTGACTCAAAGCACACCAAAGCCAGCCTGCCCCACCCGAGCCCGGGAGCATACACAAGGGATCTGTGTGCGTGTGTGTGTGTGTGGGGGGGGGGGGGGGGGGGATTGGGGGTGTGTGTGTGACCCTCCAGCGGCACACACCTTGGCGAATCAGCCTGCCCCCACATCATGCACGCACCTGGAAAATGAAGCGCCTCAGCTGCCTCGCCTCAGCTTGCCCTGGGCAGCTGGGCATCCACTAGCTAGCGGCTCCTCACGGAAGGACCTCTCTTGGCAGTCCGTAGCATGTTGCATGCTCTAGCTCCGCAGACCTTAGCAATGACCTCGCACGCACCTTGGCAATGAGGCGCCTCAGCTTGCGCAGCTGGGCATGCACCAGAGGCTCCTTTGACATGCATGCACCACAGCTATCAGCATGTGTCACACACACCACACACATACCATAGCCATATGCATGCCCTGCAGGTATCACCTTGTGTCACACACAACACACACACACCATAGCCCCATGCATGCACTGCAGCTATCACCATGTGTAACGCACACCAAACACACACCATAGCCACATGCATGCACTGCATTTATCACCATGTGTCACAAACACCACACACACGCCATAGCCACATGCATGCACTGCAGCTATCACCATGTGTCACACACACCACACACACACCATAGCCACATGCATGCACTGCAGCTATCACCATGTGTCACACACACCACACACACACCACACACACACCATAGCCACATACATGCACTGCAGCTATCACCATGTGTCACACGCACCACACACACACCATAGCCACATACATGCACTGCAGCTATCACCATGTGTCACACACACCACACACACACCATAGCCACATACATGCACTGCAACTATCACCATGTGTCACACACACCATAGCCCCATGCTACATAACGCCACGCACCTTGGCAATGAGGCGCCTCAGCTTGCGCAGCTGGGCGTCCACCAGAGGCTCCTCAGGGCGCTGGTCATGAGGGGAAGGCGAGAAAGAGGGAGGGTTGTAAGACGATCGTGGAAGAGGCACGGGGAGAAGTGGAGAATGCAGTGGCGGCAAAGGGGAGAAGTGCCTGCAGACGCGCAGAGGTTGATCACTGAGATTGACAGTAGACTCGAAACTAGGAGAGTTTTGAGGTGTTTCAAAATTTGACACTAGCCTCAATTTCCCTACAACGAGACTACTCACTTGGAAGATGGCACAGGAGTAGGTCATGGTTTCATCCAGGAAGGTCTGGAACATGTCGTTGCTCTGGTGGAGGGGGGAGGGGGCATTGGGAAGAGCATAAGGTGGGGAGGGAGGAACAGGAGTAGGTCATGGTTTCATCCAGGAAGGTCTGGAACATGTCGTTGCTCTGGTGGAGGGGGGAGGGGGCATTGGGAAGAGCATAAGGTGGGGAGGGAGGAACAGGAGTAGGTCATGGTTTCATCCAGGAAGGTCTGGAACATGTCGTTGCTCTGAGGAGGGAGAGGGGTGGGGGGGCAGGGCGAAGGATGAGGAGAAAGAAGCAGAGAGTGTGGGCTAGAATGAGAGGACGCTGGTGGAGGTGGAGTGAGATAACTCATTTCTTCATCCTCGTTCAGCTGAATGAATTCAGGTGAGGACTACTTTAGAAACGACTCCATCCCACAGGGATTAACAATCAGTTCGTCGAAGGAAAGAATACTTTCCAGGGATCAAGAGGAATCTTATTGTAAGGCGGAAGTTCGAAGATGCTGACTGGGTAGGGAATGAACAACTTCTCAGGGCAGCCACAAGTTTAGAACGACCACCACTTTTCACAGATTGATATGGTAACCAGTTCATACTGTTAACATGTCACAGCTGTTACCAGGTCATAGTGGTTGGAGATGTTTCGCCGTGCGTTGGTGAGGTTGTTGAATCGCAGCAGGTGTCGCGCATACAGAGCTGCCGACCCAATGACTACCGAGTTTTAGGGTTACCAGGTCATAGTGGTTACCAGGTCATAGTGGTTGGAAATATTCCTCCGTGCGTTGGTGAGGTTGTTGAATCGCAGCAGGTGTCTCGCATACAGAGCTGCCGACCCCACCACTGCCGTCAGCAGAGCAGGGCTCCACCACCCCCTGGTGTTGGGGATGGAAAAGTACATAGAAAATACATCAGAACTGGCTTCACAGCCCAACCCCTGGTGTTTTCGGTGGAGAGGGTCCATGGCAAGTGCTTTGGATTGAGGTGTATTTTGAGTCGACTCAAAATACCCTAGGGAGAGGGTCCATGGAAAGTGCTTTGGATTGAGGTGTATTTTGAGTCGACTCAAAATGCCCTAGGGAGAGGGTCCATGGCAAGTGCTTTGGATTGAGGTGTATTTTGAGTCGACTCAAAATACCCTAGGGAGAGGGTCCATGGAAAGTGCTTTGGATTGAAACAGCACATAAGAATGTCAAGGAAAGTGAGGAGGGGTCTATTTTTGAGGCGCCTCAAAAGTAGACTCCTCACGAGTGGAGTGAAAGGGCACATAAGAATGTCAAGGAAAGTGGGGAGGGAATGGTAGAAAGCAAGTTGCATGACAGGCAGTGGCAGAGCACACTGCTCCTCATCAGACGCAGTTCTGTTTGACTCACTTCTTCTTTGAGGGTCGCTGGCCGGGCTGCTTGGTGCGATCCCGATTGGCAATCATGATCTACCATTGGTTTGGGGAGAATGGGGAGGGCAGAAGGCAATCATTTGAAAGTTGAACACGGATGCTTTTCTTGTCGGCAAGTTTTGCGGTGCTGTAAAACTTGTGCCTATGCTTGTGAAAACATTTTTTGTAGCCAGATATTGAGATCGGTCGTTTGGGCTATGAGTCAGTGCATCGCTGTGAGTCCATCTCACCTCGAGGAATTTGAGCGGCCCTCTTGAGCCCTGAGAGAAGGAGATGTCGCCATCCTCAGGCGGTTATTGAGGCGCCTCAAGAATAGTCAGTGAGTGTGTGAGTGAGGGAGTGAGTGAGGGAGTGAGTGAGGGAGTGAGTGAGGGAGTGAGTGAGCCAGTCAGTCCATCTCACCTCGAGGAATTTGAGCAGCCCTCTTGAGCCCTGAGGGAAGGAGATGTCGCCATCCACGAAGGCATCGGCCAATCCCAGGTCAGCACGTGTGGCAACCTGTTGGATTGAGGGCGAGATGCATTCACAAGGGGAGTGGGCAAGGGTAGAGAGACAGACTGCCATCCACAAAGGCGTCATCCGATTCCAAGTCAGCACGTGTAGCCACCTGCAGTGATTGGGGTGGGGGAGGGGGGTGTAAGTGAACAGTCTGTTACAATTCAGGTGAACAGTGCAGGTGGTCATGATAGCACATTACGCTTTAGTCACATCTCGCCCACTGCACTGCAGTGGGTGCAGTAAGATTCGTGATATCTTTATTGCATCCACTGCGGCAACACTCGCTGCAGTCATGCGCCTTCCAGTAGAAGAGAAGGCAGCGAAAGCACAGTCGTCTGGCTGTCCACCTTACCAAAGCATTACTTAAGACAGGCAGTAACCACTGCAGTAACATTCGTTATAATCACGCACCTTCCAGTAGAAGGCAGGAGAATGAACGGTCATCCGGTAGTCCAGCTGAAAACAGCACTTGTTCCAGTTAAAGGCAGGCGAGTTCCAGCCACATGTCGCAACATGTCGCAATTCTATACATGAAGCACAGACCTTCCAGTAAAAGGCAGGCGAGTGCACCGTCATCTGGCAGTCCAGCTTCGGACCTTGTCCTCCAAACCGGTACACCGTGCCCCCTCGCTCCAACAGCCTGGCAGCAAGAGGTAAGGGTGCGAAAGCGTGTTTTAAGACGACTTCAAAGGGGTCATCTGATAGTATAGCTTCTGTCCCTGCTCTCCAAAACGGTACATCATGCCCCCTCGCTCCAACAGCCTGGCAGGAGGAGCAAGGGTGAGCATAAAGGAGGGCGATTGAGCAAGGGTAACTGACGTTGACTGCTGCGGGATGAATGCATTGGGCAATGTCGAGCACTTGTTGCACAGGCAGCCAACTTGTCAAAGCCGAACTGGATGGAACGGGCACAGGAAAACACTGCAGCCTTGGATACATGGGCATGCATACACATGCCTGCAAACTCACACTGTAAAGGTAAGGGCCTTTTTTCTCACTGCACGGATCCCAGCTGGATGAAGGGGCGCAGGAAGCAGAGCACCGCAGCCGTGGGCACGAGGGCATGCATAGGTACTTGCAGACAATGGCACACATATGGATCCTCACTGGACGAAGGTAAGGGCACGTCAACTCACTGCACGGAGCCGAGCTGGATGAAGGGGCGCAGGAAGGAGAGCACCGCAGCCTTGGCGGCCTGGTGGTGCAGCGGGAAGAGCATCTGGGGCGCGTTGGGCTGCAGGGCCGAGCTGCTGCTGCTGGCACCCAGGAGGGCGTTGGCTGCAGTCAGACCAGCCTGTTGCGGGGAATGGGGGGATTCAGGGAAATGGGGTGCAGCGGGAAGAGCATCTGAGGCGCATTGGCTGCAGGGAACAGCTGCTGGCTGGCGGTTCCCACCAGCATCTGGCTGGAACGAACAGCTGCTGGCTGGCATCCAGGAAAGACTTGGGTCCAATGGGAGGGGGGGGTGGGGGAGTGGGGGGGAGACGAGAAGGGGAAGGGGACCAAGGGAGAAGCGAAAGGTAAGAGGGTGCTACACAAACAAGCCTGGCAGAAAAACATTGAAAACGATCCACCAACTAGCAGCCGTTGAGGCAGGAGGGAGAAGGGGAACTAAGGAAAGAATATGCGTAGTGGTTGCAGAAGCAAGCAACACATGCCATGATGCATAAGCAAGGTGGCGTGATGCACATGGTGCACATGAGGCAATACCCTGTGTGCTGCATGCATGGTATGGTGCACATGAGGCAATACCCTGTGTGCTGCACTGCATGCATGGTATGGTGCACATGAGGCAATACCCTGTGTGTTGCATGCATGGTATGGTGCACATGAGGCAATACCCTGTGTGCTGCATGCATGGTATGGTGCACATGAGGCAATACCCTGTGTGCTGCATGCATGGTATGGTGCACATGAGGCAATACCCTGTGTGCTGCATGCATGGTATGGTGCACATGAGGCAATACCCTGTGTGCTGCATGCATGGTATGGTGCACATGAGGCAATACCCTGTGTGCTGCATGTGCGTACCTTAAACCCATCTTCATGGAAGCCATAGCCTGCAAGATGACAACAGGTCGGTCGGCCAAAGGGTGGGGTGGTTGCGGCAGCACGGCAAAGGGTGGGGTGAGGCGGCATGGTGGCATTGCAGTATCAGCCTTTGCCCCTCCTACCGCCAAAAATATGCCGCCCGTTTCCATTGTTTTCTTTTGAAACGGGCCACAACCACATTGAGACGTCGCCTCTGGAGTCTGGACACAAGAGAGCATGGGTGAGTCTAACAACTGGACAACGCACAGGAAAATTCCCAGCAGAACGTACCAATATATGCCCCAGAGAACGTTACATGCCTCACAGAACGTACCGAGATATGCCCCAAAGAGCGTCATATGAAACACAGAACGTACCGAGATATGCCCCAAAGAACGTCATATGAAACACAGAACATACCGAGATATGCCCCGCAGAAGAACAATCCCCTCTTCCCTTGGATGCCAGGGAGCAGTCTGGCAGCAGCCGTGGCAGCAGTGGTGGGGAGCGGGTGCGAGGTGGCCCACTTGTGATGCACTGCGCCTTTGATCTCGGACAGCGGATTGAGCGTCACCAGGATGGGGTCGCCTGTGTCCCCCAGGTTCTGCACAGGAGGGGGCAGGCATGAAAGGGACAGGGTAAGGGATAGGGGAGGGGAGTAAGGGTAGCAGTTGTGGGGAGCGGGTGGGAGGTGACCCACTGGTGATGCACTGTGCCTTTGATCTCGGATGGTGGGTTGAGAGTCACGAGGATGGGATCGCCTGTGCCCCCCAGATTCTGCAAGGGGGTTGTGGTTTAACGGATTGGAGAAGCGATTGATTCAAGGAAGAAGTTGGGGAGCGGGTAGAGGTGTGTGTTGGATGTGTGTGTTGAGCCAGCACGTCAAACACAACCCTTCCCTAGATGCCACCTCTATTAAACCCACCTGGTTTGATGGTCTGCTCCTGCTGCACCTAAAACACCAACGAGTATTGCTTTCATACCATAACCATAACCCACCCGCCCGCCCACCTGTAGGGTGTTGAGAGCCAGTACGCCGTGCACACCCCTCCCCTCGCTTCAAACCCTCTCAGGTTCCACCTGTACTGTAAGTGCATGCGTGCTGCAACGCACCTGATAACCACCCACCTGAGGTGCGTTGCAGCACGCACCCACCCACCTGTAGTGTGTTGAGCCAGTACGTCACGCACACCCCTCCGCTTGCGTCTACTCCTCTAAAGTTCCATGCGCTCCAGGCTGCTGTTCTAGTGGGCATGAGAGACTTGTCGCGATGCAGGAAGATGTTGCTGGGGGGGATGGGATGGGAAGGGATGGGATGGGATGGGATGGGATGGGATGGGATGGGATGGGATGGGATGGGATGGGATGGGATGGGATGGGATGAGATGGGATGGGATGGGATGGGATGGGATGGGATGGGATGGGATAGGATAGGATGGAAAAGTGGAAGGGGGGAGTGGGGGGAGTAGAGAGGAAAAGCGATTGGGCAGCAATGCGTTTGAAGTGGCACGGGCGCTTTAAGCCGCTGTGCCTTATGAGTCAACTCAAAAGCTGCTGTGCAGGCGGGCACGAGGGACCTGCCGGCTACCACGAATGCAGAAAAATGTTGCTGTCTCAGGCCAGGGTGGGAAGAGAGGAGGGAGAAGGATGGAGAGGGGAGGGGTTGGTCAAGAAGACTTGAAACACTCAAGGGAAAGAGAGGGACGACAAGGGAAGGGAGGGTGTTTTCGGGCAGTGTAGGAGGAAGATGTTGGGACACGAGGAATATTTTTCGAGAGGAATGAGCAAGCAATACCTGGTGGCGTATCTGAAAGCGGAGAATATGTTTTGTTCCTCCTGTGTGGCCCCTTCCCCCAGCAGCGGCAGCACGGCATCACCATGCACCGCCATCACCACGTGGTCGTACTGCTCTGATGTGCCGTTGCTCAAGCGCACCTCCACTCCTGGGAAAGCAGAAAGGGTGCGGTGCGGGGTGGGGGGGGGGGGGGGGGGGAGGGGGAGCGTGGGGGAGGGGAGGAGGGGTGGCTTCAGCTGGAGTTGCCTCATTCCCCAGCAGCGGCAGCACGGCATCGCCATGCACCGCCATCACCACGTGGTCGTACTGCTCTGATGTGCCGTTGCTCAGATGCACCTCCACGCCTAGGGTTTAGAGACAGAGGAGAGGGTGAGAAGTGGGGGAGAAGAGGGCAATCAAGAGAGAGTACCTCCATGCACCGCCATGCACCGCCAGCCATGGCCGTACTGCTTGCTTGTGCTGTCCCTTACATGCACCTCCACCCGTTGGGACCGCAAAAGAGATGGGGAGATGTTTTTCCTTGCCTACCCATGTTGTGCCCCTCAGTTGCCCCCGTTACGTTGAAACTTACATCTCCCAACATCCAGCATCACGTATCTCTCACATTCCAACGTTACAGAACTCACATCCCAGCGTTACATCTCTCACCTCCTTCCAACGTTACATCTCTCACCTTTCAACGTTACATCTCTCACCTCCCAACGTTACATTTATCACCTCCCAGCGTTACATATCTCACCTCCCAGCATTACATATCTCACCTCCCAGCGTTACATCTCTCACCTCCCTCGGCCAAGGTGTGCACTGCTGTCACCTCGGTGTCAGTGCGGAACATCCCCCCCCGTGCTGTCACTGCCGCCATCACCTGTGGAGAACAGCAAGAGGGGCGTTTAAACGGAGGCAGGAGGGGAGGGGAGGGGATTTTCTCAGCGCCTTGAAAACACCCACTCTCGTGCTGCCACTGCCTGCCGCCATCACCTGTGGGGAACAGCAAGAGCCGCATGTAAGGCCGGGGAAGGAAAGGAAGTTTCTAGGCACTTTGAAAGCAAAACCATTGTGCAGCCACTGCTGTCATCTCATGAGAACACCAAAGAACAATAAGGGAGAAAACATACAAGATTGACTGCAGGATTGCCTGGCAAAAGGAGAAAATATCTGACTTCCTTAGAGAATGTAAATATCTATATCTTGATTGCTTCACACAGCAACTATAGCACAGCCTTCGTGCCTTTAATCTGGTTATCATCATAGTTTTTATATCTGTTCCCCACATGAAAACGCACTGAATCACTTTTGAGTCGACTCAAAAGAGGTGACTTTTGAGTCGACTCAAAAGTCACCTTGTTCCCTACATGAAAACGCATTGAATCACTAAAAACCTGAAGCCTGCGTTACCTTGTGTTAAAAAATGTTCTGTGACATTGTCGCACAGCATGGCGTTTGAGTCGACTCAAAAGCCACATCACTCAGCACATGTCTGTTATATGCAATACCTTCTTCACATAGGGAAAGTGCAGCATGCTAGACGCCTCTGTTAACGCTAACACCATTAACCGTATGCCAGACTGACACCTTCCTTACCTTGTTCACAAAGGTCTGCAATCTGCCTGACCTCCCAACATGGAAGAGCAGCAGCATAACGAAGGAGCATTCTAGCAGAGCGCGAATCACGTACGAATCAGGTACGAATCACGTACGAATCAGGTACGAATCACGTACGAATCAGGTACGAATCAGGTACGAATCAGGTACGAATCACGTACGAATCAGGTACGAATCAGTAGCTGAAAGGTGTTTCTGCATTACCTTCTTCACATACATCTGCGATCTGCCTGAGACCGTCAGCCATTGCGGCCTGCCCAGAAGCTAAGATGGCGAGACAGCAGGGGAGGGGGGGGAGGGGGGGAGGAGGGTTGGGGGAGCGGGTTTTAGAGAGACGAGGGATCATGGAGCATGGGATTTTTCTTAGAATTCTCAGTGACTCCTCTGTAGCCAGGTTTTAGAGAGACGAGGGAACATGGAGCATGGGATTTTTCTTAGAATTCTCAGTGACTCCTCTGTAGCCAGGTTTTAGAGAGACGAGGGAACATGGAGCATGGGATTTTTCTTAGAATTCTCAGTGACTCCTCTGTAGCCAGGTTTTAGAGAGACGAGGGAACATGGAGCACGGGAAAAGCCAGTGAAGCGTAATGCGAAGGAAGAACAACAAAAACCAGGAGGTTAAGGCCGGTATGTCTGTGGCAATGGAAAGGTTAGTGCGAGAAGCGTTAAAAGGAGGGAAAGCATGAGAAAGACAAGGTGCGACGAACCTGCAGCTTGTGGTGGTTCTTATAACGAACCTGCAGCATGGGGTGTTTCTTTTAACAAACCAGCAGCATTTGGTGGTGCCTTTAACGAACCTGCAGCATGTGGTGGTTCTTGAGGAAGGAGAGCACGGAGTAGGCGTTGAAACCCCTGGCTCCATCCACGCCAGATGACCAGATGGACGCACACACTGGGAGCTGGAGAGGGGCGAAGGAAGACGAAAGGGGAGAGGAGAGCGGCGAGAGGGCGTGCATGGACGCATGGACTAATGGGAGAATGAGTGGAGAGCACGGGAGGCTGAGAGGAAAGCACGGAGTAGGCTTTGATGGCTCCTGGCCCCATCCATGTTAGCTGACCAACCGGAGGCACGCACAGGGAGCTGAGGACACACGAGGGAGTCGAAAGGGAGGAAGAAAAGAGGTGAATGAATGCGCATGGCCGCATCAGTCTACTGGGAGACTGAGATAAGAGCACAGAGGAGGCGTTGAAGCTCCTGGCTCCGTCCGTCCCCCCCAGATGACCATATAGACGCACACACTGGGGGCAGAGGAGAGGAGAGAGAGGGGGGTGGGACCGTGGGGGAAGAGAACACGGGAGAGGGATGGAAGGCGAACGCGAGATTCGTTATTGGAGAACAAGAGAGAGTTGTGGTTCATCATCAGGCCGGCATCAAACTGCCATTTTAGTGCCGAGACTGTAGAGCCTGGGCCTGTTTGTGCTGTGAGGGGCACCATAAGCGAAACAGCGAGCACAGAAGGTAGGTAGTCTTCACAAAGTTTAAAAAAGACTCATTTTCATTGGACGTTTCATGGATAAGTAGAATTAAAGAAGGGTGAACGACTGACCAGGTAGCAGTTAGACTGACCAGGTAGCAGTTAGACTGACCAGATAGCAGTTAGACTGACCAGGTAGCAGTTAGACTGACCAGGTAGCAGTTAGACTGACCAGGTAGCAGTTAGACTGACCAGGTAGCAGTTAGACTGACCAGGTAGCAGTCAGACTGACCAGGTAGCAGTCAGACTGACCAGGTAGCAGTCGCAGAACATGGAGGAGTAGCCCCGGGCCTGGAGGAACTGCCCCAAGGTCTCTGTCAGCAGCGCACTGCTGCCTGCTGCTGCTGATCCGTTGGTCACGTTGAGTGCACCCGAATGCCTCTCCAGCACGCCAGAGGCTTCCACCTTGGCGAGATAGCTGGAGGGAGGAAGTGGGGTGAGGAAAGAAGGAAGGAACGGATTAACAGAGGAGTCTATTTTTGAGGCGCCTCAAAAATAGACTCCTCACGCAGGGAGGAAGTGGGGTGGGGAACGAAGGAAGGAAGGGATTCACAGAGTAGCGGATGCCACTGCTGCTGCCGTTGGTCCCGTTGAGTGCACCCGAATGCCTCTCCAGCACGCCAGAGGCTTCCACCTTGGCCGGATAGCTGCAGCAAGGGCGGGAGGTTGGGGAGTGCAGGGAATACCACCGCCGCAGGCACCTGTTGATCCTGCGAGGGCGGGAGGGTGGGGAGGCACCTGTTGATCCTGCGAGGGCGGGAGGGTGGGGAGGCACCTGTTGATCCTGGGAGGGCGGGAGGGTGGGGAGGCACCTGTTGATCCTGCGCAATGTGTGCCATCTATCTACCTGAGAACATCCTGGTGAAACAGAGTCTTTCTCTATAGCTTGTCACTCACAAGAACAGGCGCAGTGCAAAGCCACTTACCTGAGAACGTCCTGGTGAAACAGAGTCATCTCTCGCAGCATTCGCCAGAAGGAGGGTCTCAAAACGTTGCGCTTGGAAGCGAATAGGCCCGCGAGGCCGTTGCTGCCCCACTCGCAGCGCGGCACGGACACAGAGAAGGACATGTCGGACGGCTCTATTGCGACCTCTAGCTCCTCGAAAAACGATATCATGTTGGGGTATGTCACCTGAGCGGGTGTGTTGTGGGTTGGGGGGGTGGAGGGGAGGGGGGGGGGAAGAGTAGACGGATACAGAGGCATGTCGGACGGTTCAATTCCAACATCTTGCTCCTCGAAGAACGAGATCATGTTGGGTTATGTCACCTGGTGAGGGGAGCGGGTGTGGTGTGTGGGGGGGGGGGGGGGGGGGGGAGGGAGGAAGAGTAGACGGACACAGAGGTATGGCGGACGGTTGTTTTTCCAACCGCTAGCTCCTCGAAGAATGATATCATGTTGGGGTATGTCACCTGGTGAAGGGAGCGGGTGTGTTGTGAGGGAGGAGAGAGAGGAGGGGGAGAGGGGGGAAGAGTTGACGGACACAGAGAAGGACATGTTGGATGGCCCTATTGCGACCTCCAGCTCCTCGAAGAAGGATAGCATGTTGGGGTATGTCACCTGGAGTGGGGAAGGGGTGGTGCGGGTGTGGAGAGGGATGCATGACGGAGGTGTGGGAGGGCACGGACACAGAGAAGGACATGTTGGATGGCCCTATTGCGACCTCCAGCTCATCGAAGAAGGATATCATGTTGGGTTATGTCACCTGGTACGGTCGAGGGGTGGGAGAGAGGGTTGGGGTATGGGGTTGTGGAGGGGTGTGAGGGCCAATAGCAGCAGGCAGGAGGACTCGAAAATTTGAAGTCAAGTATCTGTTGGTACACTCCAGCACAGAACACGAACGCGAGGTCCATTGTGTTTCAACCGGTGGAGTGACTGACAGACAGAACGATCTGGTGAAGCAATGACTTTTGAGTCGACTCAAAAAGCATCTGTTGGTACACTCCAGCACAGAACGCGAACGCGAACGCGAGGTTCATTGTGTTTCAACCGGTGGTCTGACAGAACGATCTGGTGAAGCAATGGCGTCTCGAAATTCATTAGAGGTGATCGGACGGTCTGCTATCATACATGCGATAGAGCATGATCCTAGAACAAGAATGCAATTGTGGGACACGAGAATATATCTGATCTGATGAAGGCCAGTTCTCCCGGAATCAGCGCATTTTGAATGAAGCGCATGCCATGTGATCGCTTTTGAGTCGACTCAAAAGCTTTCTTTCTGAATCAGCGCATTTTGAATGAGACGCATGCAATGTGATCGCGAAGCGCAACGGGATAGCATTCCACTTTGTCCCGCTACTTCAGGGGATCAGGTGACTTTGCAGGGTCATGCTACTTCGCAGGGTTGCGCTACTTCGCAGGGTCACGCTACTTCGCAGGGTCACGCTACTCCGCAGGATCACGCTACTGTTGGTGGGGCACTGGGATCGTCCTACAGTTGAGTGTGGGAGGGCTACAGGTCCGTCCTGGGGGGTAATGGGTGCGCTACCCACCACAACAACATGCCCTTTTAACCCAGTCGGTAGCGGGCTGGGCCAACAGTGGTATCAGAGCCGGGTTCGAATCTCAGTGTGCGCAGAGGAGTCGCCGGGTGCCCAAACAGTCCCAGTGAGGGGGAAGACGACCCCAGTGAGGGGGAGATTGTTGGTGGGGCACTGGGATCGTCCTACAGTTGAGTGTGGGAGGGCTACAGGTCCGTCCTGGGGGGTAATGGGTGCGCTACCCACCACAACAACATGCCCTTTTAACCCAGTCGGTAGCGGGCTGGGCCAACAGCTACTTCGCAGGGTCACGCTACTTCGCAGGGTCACGCTACTCCGCAGGGTCATGCTACTTCGCAGAGTCGCGCTACTTCGCAGGGCCACGCGACTTCGCGGGATCACGCAACTTCGCAGGTTCACGCTACTTCGCAGAATCACGCTCAGGATCACGCTACTTGGCAGGATCACGCTACTTGGCAGGATCACGCTACTTGGCAGGATCACGCTACTTGGCAGGATCACGCTACTTCAGGGGATCGGGCTACTGCAGGGACGCACCGCATTGAAGACCATGAAACCGAGGTCCACGTCAACGCCGTCATCCGTGCGATACGTGAAAGCATGGCCGCCAACGTGCGAGTCCTTTTCCAACACCGTCACCTGCACTCCCTGCTGGCTCAACCGCCATGCTGCTGCGAGGCCGGCGACGCCAGATCCAACCACTGCAACTTTCATCGTCCACCGCTTTCTACGCGCTGAGAACGATCGACTTGTGGTTATTGAGAAACTGGCATTCCTTCAGACAAAGCTGACGGAACTACCAGTTCAGGCTGGGGGAAGCCAAGGCAGAACCTGAAGAGCCGATGGCTGGTCAGAAAGGATTCAGGCAGCGTGAGAAGGCAATCTCGAGGGCGGAAATGTGATGAGCAGTTTGAAATGTGATGATCTCAAGGAGGTCGCTTCGCCAAAGGCGAACAGATTGACGAGGCTGAATGCGAAAAGCGCAAGAGTAACGAGGAATGTTGAAGAGTGCTGACGAAGTGCTGCGACGAGTAAAAGTGGAGTACCTTGTGCGGTGGAGGCAGTCCCACGTGGAAAAGAATCAGTGGAGACCCTCCAGTGAAGACCTCCAGGTTGGCGTGACGTCATTGATCGACCTTCTTGGAACATGGTGCAGTAGTACGAAATGCATGAATGTACACTCGAGACATCACCAGAATACATCTGTTCGTTCATGCAAACCTGCTTCAAGCCACCAAAAAAAGTATAACTAGTGAGCTGAGGGATCCAACACTCGATTTCTAGTCCAGACAAAACGTTAGCCTAAGAACAAGTGCAACACTCGCTGGCTGGCTCGCACTGCAGATCCAAAAAGAACCATGTCATAAATCAAGATACTGCTCATCCTAAAATTCGCCACGAATGAGCACCTACCAAACCACTGAACCATGACTCCTAGAAACCGAACAGGCCAAGCTCAGTGGCCCTCTCCTTGTCAAACATCTCGAAGTACTGATAGATGATGGTCACGGCGAGGAGAATTCCCGTGCCGGAGCCAATGGCACCCATGAAGTCAGCAACAACAGTCAATGCACCAATGCACATCCCGCCGAACGCAGCAGCCGTGGGAATGTAACGGTTGAGCTCCTTCTGCAGGTTGGACTCGCGATGGCCAGGCATCACCATTTGTTGCTCCTGCAAAAGTTGATGCAGCGGGCAAGGAAAAGGAGACCAGTTGTAAGTTGATGGGATGGGGAGGGGAGGGGGGTGGGGGGTTTAGGGGGAGGTTGGGAGACCATGACCACAATGAGCTGCATGACTGCTTAACTTCAATTGCCCAACTGAAAGCTAGAGCTAGTGTGAATCATGGTTCAAAGGCGCCTCAGCAACCAATGCCATGGTCAAGGCCTCTAATGACACAGCCACAGTTGCGGACATGCTGATGTCAGCATGTGGGGCAAGATGTCCCTATGCGACAAAACAATGTTCAGTACTTTGGCTCCCGACGTGATAAAAGAAAGTGGGGTACAAACCCATTTCAGGCAGAGTTGGACGGGTAGATTAGGGTGGCCTACTGCGATTTACCAGACTCAATTTGTTAACTCAATGTCAGACAAACCCACAATAACCAAATTGGGATTTGTTTCCTTAGCTCCTGAATCGTTGGTTCTTAAACGGTGACATTAGGGTGGCCAAGTGAGATTTACCAGATTCAGATAAGCTTGAACGTTCAAAGCTTTCAGGAAAAAGCAGGATCCAAAAAAAGGCGCTGCCTCAAGCTATCCCCCGCCTCGGCCTGCCTGATCCGTTTCTTCAGAAGCAAGCACACGCAGATCTCACAATTGTTGTGAAACCCTCCGTTCTTACCTTGAGCTGCTTGGCAACGTCGCGAGCAGACGATCCCGAGACCTCAATCCACGTCTTGGAGAAAAGCGCGCACGCGGAGAGCATGAAGGTGACGTAGAAGAGCGCATGGAAGGGGTGCACCGCGATGTCCGCCAGGCTGGTCGGAGAAAACAGGAAAGAAACGCAGGAAAAAAACATTTCGGTGAGTATGCTGGTCTAAAATGATTCGGGTCAAGATGCGTACCGGTGTTTGAAGTCAAACAACGATCTGAACCATCAAGGAGGGAAATCACAGACATAACAGCGAAACTGGAGCAGTGAATGCTAAACGGAAGGAGAATTCTAACCTCGCCGGAGGGGTCATGTAGTAGACAAGTCCGCCGACAGGAATCAGCTGGCCAGAGCTTGAGTATTCGGATTCAGCCCACACACCAAGAAGGCGGACCAGAATGAAACCACCGTACCTCCGATAAAGAAGCTGTGGAAAGGGGCAGACAACAATGAGCACAATCATATGACCAGGAAAGTCTGACTAAGGTGGAAACCCCACGACCCGCAAGAAACTTAAGCGGGGAAACAACTCGTTTTCCAATTGCAGAGAAGGACGTACCTGCGAGATGAAATACAGGTTGGAGACAAGAGCCGATTGCAGAATGATAGGCATGTTCGAGGTGTAAAACAGCTTGATCGGGTACGAGCCCTGCTGACCCCTGGCGCTCTTGGAGCGAACTGGGAGCACAACGCGGAAGCCCTGGAAGTAGATCACGATGAGGAAGACGAGCACGGTCGCTAGGAGGTTGGTGACATTCGGCAGGTTCTGTCGGTAGAAAGCCTCCTTGAGCGCGCGGACTTTGTCGGTCCGAGTGATGAGCAGGTGGAAGAGAGCGATCACGGCTCCCTCGAACTCCGCGCCACGGCCAGCGTTAATGGTGGTCGGGCTGAATGCCTTCCAGATGATGCTTTCACTGCAATGCAGAACAAGGAAATGGGGAAAATCGATTCAGAATAAAGGCGTGCAATTTCAAGGCACTGGGGGAATCCGCGAGGCGGATCTGTGAGTCTGAAAGGACAACCTTGCAACAAGAAATCGAAATATTGCAAAATGCGAAATCGCAGGCGTCAGGTGTACCAAATGTTCGTCGCGATGAAGAGGGAAATTCCAGATCCGAGGCCGTATCCCTTCTGCAGGATCTCGCCGAGGCACATGATGACGATGCCGGCGAAGGGAAAAAACCTACTTATTGAGGGGCCTCTAAAGCAGGCGTCACGCTTACCAGGTGTTGGTGGCGATGAAGAGCGAGATGCCAGATCCGAGGCCATATACCTTCTGCAGGAGCTGGCCGAGGCAAATGATGACGATGCCGGCGAAGGGAAAAAACCTACTTATTGAGGGGCCTCTAAAGCAGGCGTCACGCTTACCAGATGTTGGTGGCGATGAAGAGCGAGATGCCAGATCCGAGGCCGTATCCCTTCTGCAGGAGCTCGTCGAGGCAGATGATGATGATGCCGGCGAAGAAGAGCTGCACGATGATCAGAATGGCGTTCGTCGCACCCAGATCTCGCACGTCGCCGTACATGCCGGAGACGACGTATGCGACGGCTTCGCCGACAGTGATGAGAACTCCCAGGAGCTTCTGAGCTCCATTGCTGAAAAAAAAAATCGCAAAAAAAAGAAGAAATAAAGGCACGCTTCGCAGAAAGATAATAAGCACGTCGACATCCTGAAAACCGCAATGAAGAAATAGGTCTCCACGGAGAGACGCTAATCCCCTGATGCACCCCCAACGACCTCTAAAGATCTGCTCAAAATTATCAGGTGACCGTTCAGCGACTTACATCAATTCTCTATCTTCCTTAATGTTGTTATCCACCTCGATCAGCTTCGACCCTACAAGAAGCTGAATCACCATGCTGGACGTGACAATGGGGGTGATACCCAGCTCCATGACAGTTCCCCGGTTGGACGCCAGAATAACACGCATCCAGTAGAACGGATCTGATCCTGTGGCTGTGTGGATGCCATAGAGGGGAAGCTGACTGCAAACCAGGAAGATAAACAGCGACACGGCTGTGTAAAGGAACTTCTCTCTGAACGGCACTTTCCGATCAGCAGTCTGGACCTCCGGCAATATGTTCAGGAACGGCCGAACGAGATGCAAGAGTCTAAAACCACCACCCATGGCTCCTAGTAACCAGATCCTACAACCACTTCGATTCTACTGCTGCAGTGCAGAGACCTTGGAAGGAGCTAAGCAGATAGAACGGTAAGATAACCAACTAAAATTCAAGATTTGTTGGAGTGAGTGGGATCCAGATTTTAGAAACGCGTTCAGATGAGGAGAAATCTAGGTTGGGGCGGAGGGGATGGAGGGAGAGGGCGAGCTACACCTGACCCGAACCAACCTCTGCTCTGCTTGGTGGTTGGCTCGGTCGGAACGGTTTGGAAGTTCGGGACGGAACAGAAGGGCAGGCATGGCGTGGCAGGCAGAGGCACTGAAAGCGGGCGACTGGATGGAGGGAATTCTGCTCCTGCTGGCAGTTGGGAATTGCAAACAACAGTGGAGAATCAATTGTTACAAAGTAGAATGTTGGGGGGAATGCAATATAGCACTAGCATTTTAACACTCAATAGTGCAGCAAGCATTTGGGAAGTGTCTGGAATACGTGCTTTGTGGTAAGCAAAAAAACAGAAAACTAATACATTCTGGGAATTTTTATTTTTATTCATCAAACGGCATGTGTGATACACTTATTGGTACTTCAGCCACTAGGTTCCATTATTGATCCCTTTCCTTCTATACAACTTAATATTCCCTTCTTACAGCATAAGTACATTATAGCGTTTCACTCGACCACCTTAGAGTTTCATCTTTCTTTGATAGAAATTCTGACTTTCTTAGGGCGTGTAACAGGTGCAAGGAGAATGACGTCACCGGGTGTCCCAGCACGGTACAGTACGATTCTGCAGTTTCCAATGGGTTTGGAGGCGGTGACTCGAAGTCAAACCATGACGTCATGTTGTTCATTTGTTACACGCCTTCCCATCGTCTATCGCATGGCTGTGTTTTCTTCGCCATGCCTCAACCGAATCCCACACCAACTATTTCAGCTCACAGGGGCTATTTCACATAAAATTGTTTCGAAGCCCTAGTAATTAGTAATACCCTGGGAAGTCAGCAGCAGCACCTTGCGGCAGTTTAGTGCGATTCCTCGCCGCCTCGAATGCCCGCATCTTCCCCAACGATAGGTGAGGTCGGACCCGAGTGCTACCTTGAATTGGCATTGCGCATCGTGCATTCTGCATTGCGGATTGCACATTCCGCATTACGCATTCTTGCGCCGGACAGCAATTCGCCGCTCCAGCGCCTGCTTCCTCCTGTTTCTCAATCTTGAGGTGACTTCATCCCACGCTTCCCACTCCATTGACGACCGGGGGGGTTGTCGCGCAGTTCGACTCTCCCCATTCGCCGCCCGCCATTTTCCCCGTGGCCCTTCGCGCCTCTCCCCATTCGCCGCTCTCCCCTCTCCCTCCTCGCCCCTCTCCTCCCTCTCCTCCATTGCCGCTCTCCGCTCTCCCCCCTCGCCTCTCACCCCCATTGCCGCTCTCCCCTTTCCCCCCTCGCCCCGCTCCCCCATTGCCGCTCTCCGTTCTCCCCCTCGCCCCTCTCCCCCATTGCCGCTCTCCCCTCTCCCCCCTCGCCCCTCTCCCCCATTGCCGCTCTCCCCTCTCCCTCTCGCCTCTCTCCCCCATTGCCGCTCTCCCCTCTCCCTCTCGCCTCTCTCCCCCATTGCCGCACTCCCCTCTCCCCCCTCGCCCCTCTCCCCCATTGCCGCTCTCCGCTCTCCCCCTCGCCCCTCTCCCCCATTGCCGCTCTCCCCTCTCCCTCCTCGGCTCTCACGCCCATTGCCGCTCTCCCCTCTCCCCCCTCGCTTCTCTCCCCCATTGCCGCTCTCCGCTCTCCCCCCTCGCCCCTCTCCCCCATTGCCGCTCTCCCCTCTCCCTCTCGCCCTCTCCCCCATTGCCGCTCTCCCCTCTCCCTCTAGCCTCTCTCCCCCATTGCCACTCTCCCCTCTCCCCCCTCGCCCCTCTCCCCCATTGCCGCTCTCCCTTCTCCCCCCTCGCCTCTCTCCCCCATTGCCGCTCTCCCCTTTCCCCCCTCGCCCCTCTCCCCCGTTGCCTCTCTCCCCTCTCCCCCTCGCCCCTCTCCCCCATTGCCGCTCTCCGCTCTCCCCCCTCGCCCCTCTCCCCCATTGCCGCTCTCCCCTCTCCCCCCTCGCCCCTCTCCCCCGTTGCCTCTCTCCCCTCTCCCCCCTCGCCCCTCTCCCCCATTGCCGCTCTCCCTCTCCCTCTCGCCTCTCTCCCCCATTGCCGCTCTCCCCTCTCCTTCCTCGCCTCTCTCCCCCATTGCCGCTCTCCCCACTCCCTCCTCCCCTCTCACCCCCATTGCCGCTCTCCCCTCTCCCCCCTCGCCCCTCTCCCCCATTGCCGCTCTCCCTTCTCCCCCCTCGCCTCTCTCCCCCATTGCCGCTCTCCCCTTTCCCCCCTCGCCCCTCTCCCCCGTTGCCTCTCTCCCCTCTCCCCCCTCGCCCCTCTCCCCCATTGCCGCTCTCCGCTCTCCCCCCTCGCCCCTCTCCCCCATTGCCGCTCTCCCCTCTCCCCCTCGCCCCTCTCCCCCGTTGCCTCTCTCCCCTCTCCCCCCTCACCCCTCTCCCCATTGCCGCTCTCCCCTCTCCCTCTCGCCTCTCTCCCCCATTGCCGCTCTCCCCTCTCCTTCCTCGCCTCTCTCCCCCATTGCCGCTCTCCCCACTCCCTCCTCCCCTCTCACCCCCATTGCCGCTCTCCCCTCTCCCCCTCGCCCCTCTCCCCTATTGCCGCTCTCCCCTCTCCCCCCTTGCCCCTCTCCCCCATTGCCGCTCTCCGCTCTCCCCCTCGCCCCTCTCCCCATTGCCACTCTCCGCTCTCCCCCCTCGCCCCTCTCCCCCATTGCCGCTCTCCGCTCTCCCCCCTCGCCCCTCTCCCCCATTGCCGCTCTCCCCTCTCCCTCCTCGGCTCTCACCCCCATTGCTGCTCTCCCTCTCCCCCCTCGCTTCTCTCCCCCATTGCGGCTCTCCGCTCTCCCCCCTCGCCCTCTCCCCCCTCGCCCCTCTCCCCCATTGCCGCTCTCCCCTCTCCCTCTCGCCCCTCTCCCCCATTGCCGCTCTCCCTCTCCCTCTAGCCTCTCTCCCCCATTGCCACTCTCCCCTCTCCCCCCTCGCCCCTCTCCCCCATTGCCGCTCTCCCTTCTCCCCCCTCGCCTCTCTCCCCCATTGCCGCTCTCCCCTTTCCCCCTCGCCCCTCTCCCCCGTTGCCTCTCTCCCCTCTCCCCCCTCGCCCCTCTCCCCCATTGCCGCTCTCCACTCTCCCCCCTCGCCCCTCTCCCCCATTGCCGCTCTCCCCTCTCCCCCCTCGCCCCTCTCCCCCGTTGCCTCTCTCCCCTCTCCCCCCTCGCCCCTCTCCCCCATTGCCGCTCTCCCCTCTCCCTCTCGCCTCTCTCCCCCATTGCCGCTCTCCCCTCTCCTTCCTCGCCTCTCTCCCCCATTGCCGCTCTCCCACTCCCTCCTCCCCTCTCACCCCCATTGCCGCTCTCCCCTCTTCCCCCTCGCCCCTCTCCCCCATTGCCGCTCTCCCTTCTCCCCCCTCGCCTCTCTCCCCCATTGCCGCTCTCCCCTTTCCCCCCTCGCCCCTCTCCCCCGTTGCCTCTCTCCCCTCTCCCCCCTCGCCCCTCTCCCCCATTGCCGCTCTCCGCTCTCCCCCCTCGCCCCTCTCCCCCATTGCCGCTCTCCCCTCTCCCCCCTCGCCCTCTCCCCCGTTGCCTCTCTCCCCTCTCCCCCCTCGCCCCTCTCCCCCATTGCCGCTCTCCCCTCTCCCTCTCGCCTCTCTCCCCCATTGCCGCTCTCCCCTCTCCTTCCTCGCCTCTCTCCCCCATTGCCGCTCTCCCCACTCCCTCCTCCCCTCTCACCCCCATTGCCGCTCTCCCCTCTCCCCCCTCGCCCCTCTCCCCTATTGCCGCTCTCCCCTCTCCCCCCTTGCCCCTCTCCCCCATTGCCGCTCTCCGCTCTCCCCCCTCGCCCCTCTCCCCCATTGCCGCTCTCCGCTCTCCCCCCTCGCCCCTCTCCCCCATTGCCGCTCTCCCCTCTCCCTCCTCGGCTCTCACCCCCATTGCTGCTCTCCCCTCTCCCCCCTCGCTTCTCTCCCCCATCGCGGCTCTCCGCTCTCCCCCCTCGCCCCTCTCCCCCATTACCGCTCTCCCCTCTCCCTCTCGCCTCTCTCCCTCATTGCCGCTCTCCCCTCTCCCTCTCGCCTCTCTCCCCTATTGCCGCTCTCCGCTCTCCCCCCTCGCCCCTCTCCCCCGTTGAGGTCGCGCCCTCACACCTGCCCGTCAGTCCACTCGCCCCTCGCGCCTTCCCCATCTCGCTCTCTTCTCTTGATAGAAGGTTTGTTTTGAGACGTCTCAAAACTCGCCCCACTTCTCTCCCTCCACGTGCCATTCTGCCAGCCATTTCCTTTGCTAAACCCCTCTTCCTGCTAAACCCCTCTTCCTGGTCTGATGAAGGCAGCCACCTGCCGAAACTAGTTACCATCACTTTTCTCTCTTCCCGCTAACCCCCTCTTCCTCTTCCCACTCCTGCACCCCCTCACTCCCTCACTCGCTCCTTTCCTCCATTCTTCTCTTCTCTCGCTCTCCTCCCTCACCAGCACCAAGAAGCCACTCGGATCCGCCCGTTTCTTCCTCACGACCCCCCTCTACCCTCACGACCCCCCTCTACCCTCACGGCCCCCCTCTACCCTCACAGCCCCCCTCTTCTCCTGTCACTCCCTTTTCCCCACTCGACCCCTCTCTAATCCTCCTCCTCCCCCCCCAACTCCCGCAACTTCCCTCCTCGCTCCCTCGCAGCAGTACCATGCAGCCGCCCCGGCTACTGGCTGCTGCTGCTGCTGGTCGTTTGCCCGTTTCCCCTCTCCACCCCTGTCCACCCCTCTCCACCCCTGTCTTGCCTCACTTCCCCTTGTCACTCCCGTCTCCCCACTCGAGCCCTGCTTTGCCTATCCTCTCTTACCCCCCCCTTCCCTCTCCTCCCCCCCTTCTCATAACAGCAATGAAGCCGCTCGGCTACTGGCTGCTGCTCCTGTTCACTCACTTTTGGATTCTTCGCCCTCCTTCCCTTCTTCCCCCTCCCCCCCCCCCCCCCCCCCCCCCCCCCCCCCCCACCCCCCAAACCCCCCACAAATCCCCCCTCCCAACCCCAGCACCATGAAGCCGCTAGGCTACTGGCTGCTGCTGGTGGCGTTTGCCCGCTTCTCCTCTGTCTACTTTGGTTACTTCAACATCTGGGCGTTGCAAGTCGCAGTCTACTCCAAACGCACTAGTGAGTCTACTCCAAACGCACTAGTGAGTCTCCTATAATGAATCGTAGTCGTTGCTCCCCTTCACTCGCTTCTCCAAATGATTTTTCTCTTCCCTTCAATCGTCTCTCTTCTGTCTTCAACCGTCTCGCAATGACGGAGTCGCAATCTACTCCGAACACACTAGTAGTGAGTGCCCCAGTAAGATCAAAATTTCAGTTGTTGGTGTCTTCATTGTTTTTCTTCTCTTCCATTAAGAACCGCACTAGATTGGATACTTCAACATATGGTCGCTGCAAGTCGCTGTCTATTCTAGACGCACTGTGAGTGTGTCTGACATGCTTTGTCAGAAGGGACATGCTTTGTCCTCCCATCCCTCTCTCAACCCCCTGCCCAGTATCACAGTGACATGCACAGCCGCACCTTCGCTGCATGGACGGCCAATGCTGCATCCATGGGAGGGGGTTGGACGGCTGTCACATGCACCCTCTGCATCCCCTGTCACATGCACCCTCTGCATCCCCTGACTGCCAAAGCTGCAAAACCGCCCTCTCTCAATCTCACCCCGCCTCACCCTGAAACTAACTTTGAGGCGCCTCAAAAGTACTCTCCGCATCCTCTGGGCGCTACAGCTGCATAGCCGCCCTCTCTCCATCTCACCCCGCCTCACCCTGTCTCACCCCTTCCACTTACCGCAGTGTCTGACATGCACAGTCGCACCTTTGCTGCATGGACGGCTGTCACAAACACTTCTGAAACTTCTGTGCACTGCATCCCCTCCCGTCTCTCCTCCTTCCCCCGTACGACAGTGTCCGACGTGCATGGTCGCACCTTCGCTGCATGGACGGCTGTCACAAACACTTCTGAAACTTCTGTGCACTGCATCCCCTCCCCTCTCTCCTCCTTCCCCCGTACAACAGTGTCCGACGTGCATGGACGCACCTTCGCTGCATGGACGGCTGTCACAAACACTTCTGAATCTTCTGTGCACTGCATCCCCTCCCGTCTCTCCCCCTTCCCCCGTACAACAGTGTCGGACGTGCATGGACGCACCTTTGCTGCATGGACGGCTGTCACAAACACTTCTGAATCTTCTGTGCACTGCATCCCCTCCCGTCTCTCCCCCTTCCCCGTACAACAGTGTTGGACGTGCATGGACGCACCTTTGCTGCATGGACGGCTGTCACAAACACTTCTGAATCTTCTGTGCACTGCATCCCCTCCCGTCTCTCCCCCTTCCCGCGTACGACAGTGTCCGACGTGCATGGTCGCACCTTTGCTGCATGGACGGCTGTCACAAACACTCTCTGAATCTTCTGTGCACTGCATCCCCTCCCGTCTCTCCCCCTTCCCCGTACAACAGTGTTGGACGTGCATGGACGCACCTTTGCTGCATGGACGGCTGTCACAAACACTTCTGAATCTTCTGTGCACTGCATCCCCTCCCGTCTCTCCCCCTTCCCGCGTACGACAGTGTCCGACGTGCATGGTCGCACCTTTGCTGCATGGACGGCTGTCACAAACACTCTCTGAATCTTCTGTGCACTGCATCCCCTCCCGTCTCTCCCCCTTCCCCTGTACAACAGTGTCCGACGTGCATGGACACACCTTTGCTGCATGGACGGCTGTCACAAACACTTCTGAATCTTCTGTGCACTGCATCCCCTCCCGTCTCTCCCCCTTCCCCCGTACAACAGTGTCCGACGTGCATGGACGCACCTTTGCTGCATGGACGGCTGTCACAAACACTTCTGAATCTTCTGTGCACCGCATCCCCTCCCGCCTCTCCCCCTTCTCCCGTACGACAGTGTCCGACGTGCATGGTCGCACCTTTGCTGCATGGACGGCTGTCACAAACACTCTCTGAATCTTCTGTGCACTGCATCCCCTCCCGTCTCTCCCCCTTCCCCGTACAACAGTGTTGGACGTGCATGGACGCACCTTTGCTGCATGGACGGCTGTCACAAACACTTCTGAATCTTCTGTGCACTGCATCCCCTCCCGTCTCTCCCCCTTCCCGCGTACGACAGTGTCCGACGTGCATGGTCGCACCTTTGCTGCATGGACGGCTGTCACAAACACTCTCTGAATCTTCTGTGCACTGCATCCCCTCCCGTCTCTCCCCCTTCCCCGTACAACAGTGTTGGACGTGCATGGACGCACCTTTGCTGCATGGACGGCTGTCACAAACACTTCTGAATCTTCTGTGCACTGCATCCCCTCCCGTCTCTCCCCCTTCCCGCGTACGACAGTGTCCGACGTGCATGGTCGCACCTTTGCTGCATGGACGGCTGTCACAAACACTCTCTGAATCTTCTGTGCACTGCATCCCCTCCCGTCTCTCCCCCTTCCCCCGTACAACAGTGTCCGACGTGCATGGACACACCTTTGCTGCATGGACGGCTGTCACAAACACTTCTGAATCTTCTGTGCACTGCATCCCCTCCCGTCTCTCCCCCTTCCCCCGTACAACAGTGTCCGACGTGCATGGACGCACCTTTGCTGCATGGACGGCTGTCACAAACACTTCTGAATCTTCTGTGCACCGCATCCCCTCCCGCCTCTCCCCCTTCCCCCGTACGACAGTGCCCGACGTGCATGGTCGCACCTTTGCTGCATGGACGGCTGTCACAAACACTCTCTGAATCTTCTGTGCACTGCACCCCCTCCTGCCTCCCCCCCTTCCCCCGTACGACAGTGTCTGACGTGCACGGTCGCACCTTCGCTGCTTGGACGGCTGTCACCTGCACGCTCTGCATCCTCTGTGCTCTGCACCTCGAGAGCCGCCCGCTATTCCTCGCCACGTTTGCATCCTTCGTCATTGCCCTCGTGCACTTCCTGCTCGAGCTGCTGGTCTACAAGACCATGACTGTCAAGAACTTCGCAGCACCGTGCTTCTTTGCTTGTGAGTGGGCTTCAGATTTGATCCGTGTCATTTTTCGCGACCTTTGCATGCTTCGTCATCGCGCTCGTGCACTTCCTGCTGGAGCTGCTGGTCTACAAGACCATTACTGTCAAGAACTTCGCAGCACCATGCTTCTTCGTGTGTAAGTGGGCTTTATCAGAAAAGTCTCTGTTTTCTCAGAATTTGTGCATCCCCGGCGCCAATGTTTCTTGTCCTGTTCCGCACCGTGCACATTGTTGCAGTCGGTGTGGAGGACTGATCTCTAGTATTGCTCTTCCAAGCCTTTTGTGCTGGACCACGTGAACAGAACATGTCGGCACAGTTTGACGTCTCATTTATTGGTTTTGTTTGCCCTCCCTCCCACTCCCCTGCATTGCGCAGCCGTGTCTGCCTTGTGGATGTATTCGGAATTGGGAAAATTGAGCGATGATGATGATTGAGTGGTGTAGTTTGTAGTGATGATAAATGTAGGAGTGAGTTTTATGTAGATACATTTTTCACATGAATCAAGTGTTACTCATTGTGGTGTGCCTTTATCCTGTTAGCGCGTTTCCTTTTCCTGCGGTTATTCGATTCCCAGTGGAGATACCCTGCAGAAGAATTATCCGCTCAAAGGGCATCCTTGACAAATCCTACACGCTTCCCCCTAACCCTAGTACTGTTGTACCCACCCACAACGTTCACCTAGGCAGTTCGGCCTAGGAAAGCCTTGCTGCTGTTGTCCCTCAGACGCCTGCCACCCTCCGGGTGCAGAGCGTGTCATGTGTGGCGTATAGGCAGGGCGGTAGGGGAGTAAGCCCCTCGTTCGGGGGAGAGGAGTCGGTACAATCGGGGGAAGAACCTTAGTGGTTCAAAGTTAAGACTCGTACCTACCTCGCCCAACGTCCATGGAATCTTCTACGCCAGCTGTGGAGGCTTTCGCGAGCGAGGTGGAAGGGGTTGAGAAGAAATTGGAGAATCTTTCCGTTGACGCTGAGGACGCCTGTGCTCTTTCCGCGAGTACCCTAATCAAGGTCTACTAGGAGGGCCCGAATACATTTGGGAATGCTTATTTTCTCTAGATAGACCGTTGGCCGTAGTCATGGTATGGTATGCCTCTAGCTGCTGGACATTTTAGCCTTGGACAGCTGGTTTCGTCAGGGAGCGTCAGACGTGCCTTATTGATTACGGTTTCCTTTTTCAGGACGACAGTAACGTGTGTGCAATTTGCCACGAAGGCATCATTCTTCAGGAGACGGGCTTCGTCAAGGGATGCGATCACTCATACTGGTCAGCGAATTCCTGATTTCTCAGATTTCAGTTATGATGCATTTTCCCTCTGACGGATGTCTTACGGCTACCTTCTTTCTTTTCCTGGCTCAGTATCAACTGCATTCTTCAGTGGGCTTCGTACAAGACCTATCCTTGGTGTCCTCAGTGTCGCTTGCCATTCTCATCGCTTTACCTGTACAAAAATCTGGATGGCAGGTATGCTCGTGGCTTTTTCATTCACTTACGCATCCTCCTCTTTTGCGTTTTCCTTCCCTTCTCTTTAGCTGCCTTCCGAAAGTCCACCTGGTGACCTGCTGCCTGTTCTTGTGCAGTGTGAGTGATTTCATGCTCGAAGAAACAGTGTGCCTGCTTCTCCGTGCTCCCTGGTACACGCCAGTGGAATTCGCATACGAAAATGAGATCGAACATCCTCCTGAGTTGGAAGATTATGAAGAAGACGAGGAAGACTATTACCAGAACACGTTGCGCATTGGCAACAGGCGATGGGGTGAGAATGGTTATGTGCGCCGGGGGCGCATAGAGGCCCGTCCTGCCCCTACCCGCCCCCCTGGTGCTGCTCAGAAGGGTTCCAATTCCAAGGAGGGGGCCTGGGACGCAGAGCGAAGCGGGCTCAGAAGAGGATGATGGACGATGCCGGAACTTCTGGCTCAGGTAGCCGCACGTCTTCCCGCACCTGAAGAATTGTGGCGTTGCAGAGTTCTGTGAGAATTGCAGGGATCTTGTACAGGCCGTTCTTCAGTTGCTTCTTCTCAGCTCTTCTGTCGACCTGAAGCAACTCGTTTGTTTGCACATACAATCATAGCAATAGGATGATTGCTGAGTGACATTGCCATTTGTTCATTGCACGGTGAGGTCAAGGTCCAAGGAGTTGGATTGATTGTGGTCATTATGTGGGCATTGTGTGCCTTGGTTGTAGGTTATATATATAATTTTGATTTGTGGCATGTAGCTTCAATCGCGTGAGAGTCGCTTCTGGCTTCCCTGGCATGCAGAAAAGGATCTGCTCTGCTGAGCTCGAGATTCTTTCCCAGCGCGTCAATTCCACCTGGTGATCACATGCCACGTGGCAAAAACATAGGGCTATCCTTGCTCGGCTGTTCTGCCGAACGCGCTCCTGGCCACCCGCTTTCAGCTGCCCTGGTGTCGGTTTTCTCGTTGCGACCGTGGAAAGGTAACCCGCCAGAGGAAGACTTCGCAACGCACGAATCACGTCCTTCGTTCGGACAGAGCAGTGACGGAGAATTCGAGGGTCGCCAAGACGCAAATGAATTGTGGGGAGCATACTCTATGTCAATCTCTGGACCAGCTTGCAAGTAAACAGACTGCTGGATATGTACACAAGCGGTCTAGACTGCCCCTAGCATCCCTTCATCGCAGTCAGGACGCATTCCGTCCTGGTGAAGGTGCCGGCAAGGAGCGTTAGCACTCACGATGGCAGCCATGGCAATGACATCCGCCTCTGCAGGCGTGTTGCCAGCTGTCCCCTCTGTTTGCCTCAAGGAAGAAAAGCTTCCCATTGCCTCGTCTTGCGCGCCGCTAAGGCTGCCTCAGGTACAATGTGTCTGTTAGTGGCTACGTCGAACCTCTGAATTAGCTCTACTAACTAATCCGGATGCTGCGCATACTAAGGTGCACTGTACCAGGCTAATCTGGACACATGTACCATGCCAAGTTCTGAAGTTACCCAGTTACCGTGAAATTGCGAATGCAGGCTAGCTTTTTTGGAGAGTCGCTTCGCCAGCAATCGCGAGGTGTTTCGCGCAAATCCGCTTCCCGAAAATCTGGAGCCCTTCAGGCATGTATCTCCTAATCAGCTTCTTCGACCCTATCACCACAGCTGGTTTGGACCTTCGATTTCTTCTCTCGCGGCTTCGACCGATTCCGTCGAGTCCCAGAATTGCATGGCTGTCGTGTTTCTGTCGCACGAAATCCGACTAATTCCGTTACAATGCCACGATGATGAAGCTCCCTGTTGCTTCTCTGCAGGTTTCAGCGACCGCAAGCGCTTCAGATGATTCTGAAAAGGTACGCTGTTATATTGAAAACCGAATGAGGATCACTTGATCTTCTGAATGAAAATGAAAGGTTTGACTGTGTTAGGGAAGGTGATTCTACTCATTAACTGTAACGGTGATTCTACTGATTAACTGGTTTTCAACCATCCGCTTTTCCCTGCTTTCCTCCCAGTCCAATCTGTCCACACTTCCCCGGGCGAGGGCTGTATCAGAGAAGGAGCAGCTCGCAACGATGGTGGCGGAGAACGAGCGCTTGAAAGCACTGCTTTTGAGCCGAGTCAAAGGCCGTCTGCAACCGTACCCTACCCGCATTTCCCTGCCTTTCTTCAACTCGAATTCGTCCGCCCTCCTTCCTTTCGTTTCACAGGAGGGGCTGGCAGCGATGGTGGCGGAGTACGAGCGCCACCTTACCGTCTGCAACCTTGCAACCTTACCCTACCCACATTTCCCTACCCTTCTTCTATTTGGACTCGTCCAACGTCCTACTCGAATTCGTCCACCCTTTCACAGGCGCGGCTGGCCGCGATGGTGGCGGAGAACGAGCGGTTGAAGGCGCGCCTGGCGGAGCTGGAGGGGGCGCTCACGCTGGCCATGCAGGGAGGCGGGGCTCCTGGCTCGCCCGCTGTTGCTGCTGATGTGGTGAGAAACGGGACGTGTCATGGTGCTATGTATAACAATGCGTATGCTATGGTATACATGTTATGGGGTGGGGTGTACTGAGACGTCCCAAAAACATGGGGTGCATGCAATCTACAATTTACGTATGGTGTTCATTTGGGAAAATTCACTGTGTTTTGAGGGCTCTCTGCCTGATTCTGCTGACGTGGTGAGCCAGCAAATGGCTTGTATGAGACGGCAGCAGAAACCAATTAGCGCCCATTTGTTGGTATCGTGCTTGCTTATAGTGGGCTCTAATAGTGAGCTTGTCTAATGGTGGATGCAGATAGTCAGTATGAGAGCCAATTGATGGAGGAGTCAATCACATTGCTGCTTGACATGACATCCCGACTCTGCTTCGGGAATCTTCTGTCTATTTATTCATCCCATTCTCGTTTCCCCATCTTTCAGCCTGCTGCTGCAGCAGCAGCAGCAGCAACAGCAGCAGCTGAAGCAGCAGCAGAAGCAGCCGCAGCTCTTGAGGTTGTAGAGGAGGCTGCAGGAACGGACCAGAAAAGACAAGCTGTGCCAGCCACTGCCGCCCAGCAAATCATCTGGCCGTCCCCCCAGGAGGAGCCGCCGTTCTGGATGCGCTGGCCAACCAGTGAGGGGCACGTGGCAGCAGCAGGGGTGGTGAGCGGCGGAGCAGCAGGGGACGGAGTTGTGGGAGAGAGGGATCCGGAACGCCTGCACATTGTGCATGTGACTGCTGAAATGGCTCCCCTGGCGAAAGTTGGAGGCCTCGGGGATGTGGTTACAGGTGCGTAGTGGGTTACAGGATGTAGAAGACGCGGAAACAGGTGAGCAGCAGCAGGGGACGGAGTTGTGGGAGAGGGGGATTCGGACCGCCTGTGCATAGTGCATAGCGCCTTCACATTGTGCATGTGGCTGCTGAAATGGCTCCTCGTCCAAAGCTGGGGGCTCGCTACCCGTCTCGCTACCCGTCTCGCAGGCCATTCTTCCTGCCCATTTCCCTGCCCGTCTCAAAGCCTGTTTCAAGGCCTGTCCCAAAGCCCACCATCTTGCCATCTCACTGCCAGCCGTCTCAAAGCCTGTCTCAAGGCCTGTCCCAAAGTCCATCGTCCTGCTGTCTCCCTGCCGGGTTGTGGCATGTTTAAAATCCTCAGGCAGACAGGTCTGCCTGAGGCTTTGAAATCCTCTGTTTGCAGGTTTGGGCTGAGCCTGTCTGGTTCGGTGCCACGGCGGACCGTGGAAGTAATGCTGCTACCCTGCTTTTGAGTCGACTCAAAAGCGGTGGAAGTAATGTTGCCCTTCCACATACGAATGCTGGACGTTTCATGCGTCTCCGCGCTCTTCACTGTGCCTCCATACCTGTACCCCTGCAGGTTCGGGCCGAGCCTGTCTGGCTCGGGGCCACACAGCACGGTGGAGGTGATGCTGCCCTTCTACGAGTGTCTGGACATTTAAGGCGTCTCTTATGTGATGCTGGCGCTCTTCTCCCCGCTGTCCCTCCAATCTCGTTCGTTTTCAGGTTTGGGCCGAGCCTGTCTGGCTCGGGGCCACACGGTGGAAGTGATGCTGCCGTTCTACGAGTGCCTGGACACCAAGCAGATCGCCAACCTGCAGCTCAAGCGCTCCTTTGGCTCCTACTTCAAGGGTGACTGGGTGGGCGTGGAGGTGAGTCAGTGTGGGCCGTGGGGTGGTGAGTTGGAGTTGTGGTGATTCATTGCACTTAGGTTACATGTGAGTTACAAGCAGATCGCCAACCTACAGCTCAAGCGCTCCTTTGGCTCCTACTTCAAGGGCGACTGGGTGGGCGTGGAGGTGAGTCATGTGGTGTGGTGGTACCTTAGGGTGAACGTGAGTCAATTTGTTGTTCACTCAGGCAGACAGGGTAGAGGCGAAAAGCAGATTGGCAACCTGCAGCTCCAGCGGTCCTTTTGAGGCGCCTCAAAAGTCCAGCGGTCCTTTGGCTCCTGGGCGACTGGGTGGGAGTGGAGGTGAGACGAGAGGGGCCGAGTTGGAGTAGGGTTAGGCCTTGGAGCTAGTGGGAAGGAACAGGGGTGAGGGTGAAGATGGGGAAGTGCAGGTTGAGGGGAAAGAAGGCATCTGAAACACCTCCATTTCCGGTGGTTTTTGAGGCGCCTCAAACTGAAACTCCTCCATTTCTGGTGGTGCTGCTGAACCAGAGAACCACTTCTTCTAAGGCGGCTGCATCTCTATTGCTCTCTCTCTCTTTCATCCACACGCACACACTCACACTCACACGAGCGCAGACACGCTTGTATGATTGCAGGCGTTCAGTGGGCGATCTCAGGCGCGCCGATGGTGCTGCTGAACCCAGAGAACCACTTCTTCAGGGGCGGCCGCACCTATGCCTCTCACTTTCGCTGCCACACGCGCACTCACATTCATGCATGCTCACTCACTCTTTCTATGCTTGCAGGCGTTCAGTGGGGAGATCTCGGGCGTGCCAGTGGTGCTGCTGAAGCCTGAGAACCATTTCTTCAGGGGCGGCCGCATCTATGGCGGCTCGTACAACGAGCTTGAGGCATACCTCTTCTTCAGCCGCGCTAGCCTTGAGTTCCTGCAGGTGAGTTACGACGATGGGACGTACATTCACCTACCGTTCTGCCTCGTTATAGAACGTTGGTTCAAAGCCGGGGTATGGTGTGTGGCTCCTACAACGAGCTCGAGGCATACCTCGTCGTCTGCTGTGCCACTCTGGAGTTCCTGCGGGTGGGACATCGTGTGTAGGGCACAGAGGTGGGGTGAGTAGGGAGCAGGGAGTAGGGAGTAGGGAGCAGGGAATAGGGGGCACACGGTGGTGCATCGTGGTGCGTGAGGAGTCTATTTTTGAGGCGCCTCAAAAATAGGGTACAGAAGTGGGGTGAATAGGGAGCAGGGAATAGGGGGCACACGGTGGTGCATCGTGGTGCCTTGAGGCATGCTGTGCTGATCTTCCTCGTCAACCATCCTGTCCTATGGTGCCACTGCCAGGTGCATGGATATGTCTATGTGCATCCCATCAGGTGAAAGGCGGCCAGCCAGATGTGCTGCACGTTCACGAGTTGCACACAGCAGCAGTGCTGCTTTCCTTTGTCTGCCCTTCGTTGCTCATTCCCTTGTGATGGTACCAACCAAGTGCGTGCGCTTGTCTGTCCTCCCTCCCACCAGGTGACGGGGGAGCGCACCCGGACATTCTCCACATTCACGAGGGGCACACAGCAGTACTGTTGCACTGTGTCGCCTCCCTTCCTCACACCCCCCCTGTTATGTGGTACCCTGTGCGGCCCATGTATGTCCATGTGAATC